AAAGGTTGTTGTCGCTGCAGTGCGCTCACAGCACACTGAAGCTAACGAGTCATCAGATGAGTTCATACTGGCTCGTGAAACGGTAGTCCGTTTTGTGCAAGACTCCATCGCCGAAGCGGTGGATAAGCAAAAGCAAAACGCTGACAAGAATGGAAGGGCAAACACTCTTTTATTTAATAAAGGTGACTTAGTCCTACTGTCTACGGTTAATCTACCAAAACATGTAGTGACTAACTTGGGTAGCAGTAAACTACTACCCAAGTACATTGGCCCATTTCGTGTATTGCACCGCCTAGGCAATGCATACACGATCGAGTTACCACGTAAGATGCGAACGCATCCCACGTTTTACGTTGGTCGGCTTAAGCCGTACCATCAGTACGCTGCTTCTTCCGATGAAGAACGCCCTTGCGCTCAAGCATCTCGCAGAGAGCCTTGTGCTCCCGATGGTGGGCATCAACAAGGGTCTGAAGAGCAGTTATCTCAGCCCGAGACCGATCAACAATCCCACGAGCTACCCTTAGCTCGTCACGAAGAGATGTCAGAGATCTCTCGTTCTCAAGCTGAGCAAAGGCAAACTCAGCTCGATGCTTCGAGGCAGTGTCCACCATCTGGAGACGCCTATTCCGCTCATGCTCGAGATCGTCGCGTAACCCTTGCGTTACGCGATCAAAGAAGCTCTCGGGAACACACCGATCCACATGATCGTGTGGAGAGCGTCTTTCCTCCTCCTCCACCTCCATTAGAGGACTCTCGCGGTGGCCAGCGCTATCTAGTAGAGCAGCTGTTGAACCACCGCGACGTGAACGGACGTCGGACGAGTTACCTCGTCCGGTGGCGCGGCTATCCCCCGTCCTGGGATTCTTGGGAGCCCCGCTCCCAATTGATGGTTGACGTACTGGGTCTGGTCGAGCAGTACGACGCGACACATCCTGTGCCGCAGAAGGACCGCCGGAGAAAGTCTTCCCGGCACGGTCGTAAAGGGATTTCAGGTTGTCAATCCCTTCGTACATCTCAGTAGAGACACGTACGCGCCACCACGGGCTGGTAAGGAGGTAAGCCTCCTTAGGTGCTCGTGCAGAGTTGTTCACACAACATGGGCACGAGTCTCCCCAAGAGAGGCAGGGTAATCCTTTCTCCCTTGACAGACGATGCAGCTTATAGCGTGCACCTGTCGGGGTTCGCTTTTCAAACTTATCACGAGCTTTGATAAGTTTGTCGTTCCAAGCGTCACGACCTACATCCTCGAGATTATGGATGTAGGCGTTCCACGCCTGAAGTAGTGAGGGACCATCACGTTTGTGATTCCCACTGTACCATCGATGTCTGAAGAAAGCATCGATGAAGAACTCATGTTCAGCGCGATAGTCTTTCGCGCTGGGGTCAAGGTGATGGATCCTTGACGAATCGAACAATCGTGTTCGATAACGATCACTCGTCGTCGCCGACAAGTGATCCATGACAGATTTAGGAGGCATCCATGCCTTCTTTTCTGGAGCGAGACGCAACACATTGCGGTCCCGCTCTTCCTGCGACGTGCCGACAGAAGTACTGGCACCTCGCTGTGAAGTGGTGTCCATTGGAGAAACGACACCACTATTAGCGCCCGAGTCTCGCGACCTCGAGCGCCTTCGCTTCGGCGATGGTTCATCTGACTCATCAGATGAACCAAAGATGCTGCGACGCAAAGCATCGTCCATGTCACGCTTGGCAGGCGGCTTGGATTCAATTGCCGTCGATACGGATCCGTCATCCGTATCAGGAGAGTACGAGACACCGAGCTCGTACTCTGTGAAGACACGAGTGTCTTCATGACCAGCGCCTGCATCACCAGGTGATACAGGCTGAGTCGATTCAGCAACCGATGGGATATCAGTTGCTGTAGTTTCTGCTTCGGCGTCCGCACAGAGACGTGCAGACGCGCTCTCGGCGGCCTTGCTCGCGCATCGCATGGGCTTGTTTACCATGCGATGAGATGTTGGAAAGTGGACGCGGACCAACAAGTGCAAACCCCGTCCCAAATGATTTGGGACGAGTATCCATTTAGTCAATCAGTCACTAAAGTGACTGATGGTTAAGGGGGGTGATGTAACGGGGTGAATCGTTACATAACAATTTATAAGAAATTGTTAATAGAATATAACTATAAGAGTTATATTCTCAGAATATTGTCATAAGGACAATATTCTGTAGCACTTCCAAGTAGTTCCTAATTGGTTGATATAGGCCATTATATCAACCAACGAAGACGCGCCACGACAGACGCACGCAATGAGTGGTGAGCAGATAACTGATTTACACATTTGTATTTAGACATAGTTAGATGAAGATAAATAGTGATTTATTGCAGACATTAACTATTATAAATACAGTTCTACTTTTTACTCTAACCGAGTACTCGCTTCTTCTTACCGTCTTCCTCTGCACGTACCAGTGTACGTGAAGTTACGAGGCACCGCCTTATTCTGTTATCAGAATAAGTAGCTTGTACTGTCACCAGTACAAGCTTCAGGGTGCCCCGTTACAACAGATGTGTTGTATGCCGAGTGGCATCAAACAATGTTTACGGAAGAAATCGCTTACGATGTTAATGAACGGGGCGTTACCGAGTACGATGCATGGGACTCTTCGGTGTTCGACCTCATAGATAGAGATAATGACAATTGTCGTCAGGAGGCAGGATGCCCATCACCGCCAATAAAGACATGATCAGATTAAAAAGCAAGTGGAGACTATAGGCCGGTTGTATTTACACGTCAATAATTGCGCAAACGGGTATCGCAACTTTGTTTTGAAGTCGCTACCCTAGGTGTAAAGCGCTGTATTCTTCTTCACAACTTCGACAAACGTCTCGTGTTCAACACAGCGTGTTTCTTCAGATGGCGGTGCTTCGCTGGTATAAGTGCATGCTGATAACAACATGTTGAGTGCGTGTGCACCAAGCAAAGGCTCTGCAACCACATTGTCATTTCTTTTGGAAATGATCTACGTACCCCACCTCCCCTTGTTGGACATACACCCCACTCCAACAAAGTCTCTACTTTACTAGGCGCACACTCTTCCGCAATGCAGTCCAGTTACCTCCCATGGCAATGTAGACTATTACCTGAATCCGTAATTGTTAGCAACTCCTTGATACATTTCAAATGGTTGTCGGGAGTTTTTGCGTGACATGGCAGCAAAGATATGCAATCTCCATCCAAGCGCCTTTTAATTACCTAAGGTCGTCCTGTTATGCTCTAATCCAAACACAGGAAACCATCGTAGGTATGAGGAATTACCACCTCTTTAAGCTGTAGATTAAATTTGAATCAAATCGTTACCATCACGCTTTGCTAATAACAGCAGGAAACATCCCTAAGACAATGAAGGCGTACCGTGGAAGCACAAGTCAAAACTCGTCTTACTCACATAAAGTTAGTGATAGTGACTTGTATGCAAGCATACATTTTCGAAGAGGTATCTACGAGCGCTTAGCGTCACAAAGCGATCCAGTACATTGAACCGATGCAAATAAATACTGCACACATGATCCCTGCTGCCGCACATATCACGATGTTCAATAGAGACGAGCGCAGTTGCGACACTTTTATCGGCCAAAACTCGAGCTCTAGATTATTGCGAGCCTGAAGGATGAAGCTATGAGTGAGTGTGCACAAGGTTGAATGCCGAGCTTTTAAATCGTGTTTATCTGCCTGTCTGTCCGTGTGCGTGTCTGTCCGTAAATAACGCGTTTAGGTGTACCTTATTCTTACTAAATACGATCTAGTTTGTCCCCCTCATAGGTCGTTTAGCATGATAGGTGTCACTATGGCTTGATCAATATTGTGAAGCATGCACTTGATTGGCTAAAGATCAGTTGAAGATGAAAATGATCATTTGCAGGATCACATGCACGCACCTGATTGGCTTAAAAACGATCAAAGATGAATATGATCCCATGCTGAAAGCAAATGCTAAACGCTCGTAAGCACAGGTCTATCGCTTGGTTCTGATCTCCTGTACAGTGTTGATTCATAAATAACAGCATCACACTCCTTCTTCAGTGTCTGCTGCTGTATAGATTTTTGCAACATGTTTCAGTTCTCCGAACTGAATTACTTATATCAAGGGGCGAGCTCCAGAGCTTGCTCTCCTATCTAATAACTAGACCAACAAGGAATTTACTCGGTCATTTACTCGGCCGCAACCCCAAACAGACATGTCTGCGACGACATTTGGCTTTACATGATTTCATCTAATTGATCGTTCGTTCTTTTTTTCTAGATTTCGTGTGTGCCGCGAAGACACATCCAATTTCTGCGATGATACCTTACGTCTGTATTTGTGTTCGTCGACTTCATTGCATGACATATCCAGCTTCATGCAGTGCAAACAAACTGCTTCTCACATCAATTCCAGTAGCGCGACGACATGTGACAAATGTAACGGGGCACCCTGAAGCTTGTACTGGTGACAGTACAAGCTACTTATTCTGATGACAGAATAAGGCGGTGCCTCGTAGCTTCACGTACACTGGTACGTGCAGAGGAAGACGGTAAGAAGAAGCGAGTACTTGGTTAAAGTAAAAAGTAGAACCGTATTTATAATAGTTAATGTCTGCAATAAATCCCTATTTATCTTCATCTAACTATGTCTAAATACAAATGTGTAAATCAGTTATCTGCTCACCACTCATTGCGTGCGTCTGTCGTGGCGCGTCTTCGTTGGTTGATATAATGGCCTATATCAACCAATTAGGAACTACTTGTAAGTGCTACAGAATATTTGTCCTTATGACAATATTCTGAGAATATAACTCTTATAGTTATATTCTATTAACAATTTCTTATAAATTGTTACGTAACGATTCACCCCGTTACATCACCCCCCCCTTAACCATCAGTCACCTTAGTGACTGATTGACTAAATGGATACTCGTCCCAAATCATTTGGGACAGGGTTTGCACTTGTTAGTCCGCGTCCACTTTCCAACATTTCATCGCATGGTGAACAAGCCCATGCGATGCGCGAGCAAGGCCGCCGAGAGCGCGTCTGCACGTCTCTGTGCGGACGCCGAAGCAGAAACAACAGCAACTGATGTCTCATCGGTTGCTAAAGCGACCCAGCCTGTGTCACTTGGTGATGCAGACATCGATGGTACAGTGGGAACCACAAGCGTGATGGTCCCTCACTACTTCAAGCGTGGAACGCCTACATCCATAACCTTGAGGATGTAGGTCGTGACGCTTGGAACGAAAAACTTATCAAAGCTCGTGATGAGTTTGAAAAGCGAACCCCGAAAGGTGCACGCAATAAGCTGCATCGTCTGTCAAGGAAGAAGGGATTACCCTGCCTCTCTTGGGGAGACTGGTGCCCGTGTTGTGTGAACAACTCTGCACGAGCACCTAAGGAGGCTTACCTCCTTACCAGCCCGTGGTGGCGCGTACGTATCTCTAGTGAGATGCACGAAGGGATTGGCAACCTGAAATCCCTTTATGACCGTGCCGGGAAGAAGTTCTCCGGCGGTCCTTCTGCGGCACAGGATGTGCAGCGTCGTACTGCTCATCCAGACCCAGTACGTCAACCATCAGTTGGAGGCGTGGTGCCCAAGTATCCCAGGACGGGGGATAGCCTCGCCACCGGACGAGATAACTCGTCCGACGTCCGTTCACGTCGCGGTGGTTCAACAGCTGCTCAACTAGATAGCGCTGGCCACCGCAAGAGTCCTCTAATGTAGGTGGAGGAGGAGGAAAGACGCTCTCCACACGATCATGTGGATCGGTGTGTTCCCGAGAGCTTCTTTGATCGCGTAACGCAAGGGTTACGCGACGATCTCGAACATGAGCGGAATAGGCGTCTCCAAATGGTGGACACTGCCTCGAAGCATCGAGCTGAGTTTGCCTTTGCTCAGCTTGAGAACGAGAGATCTCTGACATCTCTTCATGACGAGCTAAGGGTAGCTCGTGGGATTGTTGATCGGTCTCGGGATGAGATAACTGCTCTTCAGACCCTTGTCGATGCCCACCATCGGGAGCACAAGGCTCTCTGCGAGATGCTTGAGCGCAAGGGCGTTCTTCATCGGAAGAAGCAGCGTACGGATGGTACGGCTTAAGCCGACCAAAGTAAAACGTTGGATGCGTTCGCATCTTACGTGGCAACTCGATCGTGTATGCATTGCCTAGGCGGTGCAATACACGAAATGGGCCGATGTACTTGGGTAGTAGTTTACTGCTACCCAAGTTAGTCACTACATGCTTTGGTAGGTTAACCGTAGACAGTAGGACTAAGTCACCTTTGTTAAATAAAAGAGTGTTTGCCCTTCCATTCTTTTCGGCGTTTTGCTTTTGCTTATCCACCGCTTCAGCGATGGAGTCTTGCACAAAACGGACTACCGTTTCACGAGCCAGTATAAAATCATCTGCTGACTCGTTAGCTTCAGTGCGCTGTGAGCACACTGCAGCAACATCAACCTTTTCTTCAGTGAGGGCTTCCGCACTCTCACTGGCATCATCTTCTTCGATATCGATGTTATCGATATCGGCATCAAACGCAATGAACTCTTCGTCAGAGCGTGATGAGCGTGAACCAAATCGGTTTTTGCTCGCGCGAGTCCCTCCCCCCCTTAAACCAGAGTTACACTCTAGTAAGGTGGGTACACGCGGATGGCGCAAGCCATTCACGTAAAACGGTGTAGGTGTCGTGGACGCATGCACCGAGTTGTTGATGGCAAACTCTACCATTGGCAAAACTCACTCCAACTCTTAAAGGAGTGTACGTATCCTCGAAGTATCTCTTCAAGGACACGATTGGCACGTTCCGTCTGACCATCTGACTCTGGATGATCAGATGTCGACATGTATAAGCGCGTTCCGAGTGATTTGAACACGGAACGCCAGAAATCAGCAGTGAATCGTGGATCTCTGTCTGATACGAGTTCACGGGGCAACCCATGAAGTCGGAAGATGGTGTCAATAAAGACACAAGCACAGCCACTTGCCGTGATTGTCTCTGGTACAGCAACAAGGTGTACCATTTTGCTGAATCTGTCAACAAATACGAGAATACCCGTATTCCCGCGTGCGTCTTTGGGTAACCCGAAGACGAAATCCATTGAGATGGATTCCCAGCACTCAGCCGGAACCGGTAGAGGCTGTAAAGGTGCACGCAGTGAAGGACTTGACTTCACTCGTTGACAGACTTCGCATGCGCGAACATACTTTCGCACAAACTGATACTGGCGGGGCCAGTAAAAGTCTCGACTTACCGTGAGATACGTTTTCTCTCGGCCACGATGTCCTCCTATAGGAGCATCGTGATACTCGAACATGATCCGCAAACGCAGATCAGTATCATCTGGAATGACAACACGTGGTGTGTCACCAGAAACGGCTGTATAATACAGTAAACCGTTACGAGTAGTGTATCGATCTGATGCAGATCGATATGCAGACGACAATCGTTTCGACGATTCTCGAGATGGTTGGGAGAGATGTGTCAACAACTTCACTATCTCACCATCTTGGGCGTATGCCCGCCTCACATCATCATACAACGTTGTAGATGGGACTGAGGACGTCATAACCGCAACAGTGACTGTCTCACTGTTGGGTTTCGCGACTGTTTCAAAGTCGGGACGACGTGAGAGTGCATCAGCGACGACATTAAGTCGTCCTGGTTTGTACTCGACCGTAAAGTTGTATTCTGCAAAGAATGACAACCACCGCGCCATTCGTTGTGAAAGGTGCGGGCTGTTCACTGCCGTGCGTAATGACGCATGGTCAGTGTAAACAACGAAGGGTCTATCTCCTAATAGATAGACTCTGAACTTCGCGAGTGCATACTTCATGGCAACGAGTTCCTTGTCATGCACTGGATAGTTCCGCTCAGCTGGTTGCAGCTGACGCGACTGATAGCAGACGATGCGTTCAACACCTTCAATATCGTACTGCATTAATGCACAGCCGATTGCTAAATCGCTGGCATCACAGACCACATGAAATGGCCTGTCCTGATCGGCTATTGCTAGGACCAGGGATTGTATCAAGCTCTGCTTGATGCCATCAAAGGAGCGCTGACATTCAGCGTTTCATAACCACCTCTCGTTCTTTTTCAACAAACGAGAGAGGTGTACAGTCATCTCGGCGTAATTGCGTGAATACTTATGCAAATACGCCGCTAGCCCAAGGAATTTTCGAAGACCTTTGACATCAACCGGCACAGGCCAGTCGGTGATCGCCTTGATCTTTTCGGGATCAGGACGTACACCGTTCTTACCAACGATGCACCCAAGAAGTGGTATTTCGCTTGCTGCAAATATACACTTCTTGAGGTTGGCATACAATTGATGCTTTCGCATGATGGTAAGAACTTGTCGGACGTGGTACCTGTGAACCTCAACGTCCGACTTTCCATCCATAGCTCGACTATGGATGAATACGTCATCGAAATAACTCGGCTCGAATTCTCTTACTGGTCTCAACAGATGTGATACACATCTGTTGAACGTGGCAGGGGCATTACTAAGCCCTTGTGGCATTACTAGCCATTCCCAGAGCATGCCGCTAGGCGTGCTAACTGCGGTATAGGGTATATCCCGTTCCCGCATAAGGATTTGATAGAAGCCATCCATAAAATCCATGGACGAAAAGATGGTACTCTTTGACATACCATCAATGATTACGTCCTTCCTCGGTATCGGCGTCTGAGCCGGTACCGTTGCAGCGTTCAATTTGTTGAACGCGTGTACTATCCGCCACCCTCCTGTTGCTTTTCGCACACAGAAGGTCGGAGAGCTATGTGGGGAAGTTGATTCCCTCACATGGCCCGCAGCTAAACGATCGGCAAAGAACTTGTCGATCGCAAGTACTTGTTCACGAGGCAGTGGCCACTGCTTCATGACACAGTACTTCGAGCCTGGTAAGCTCGATCTCGTGTCGAATACCTTTATCCTTCGGTAATTCGCACGGAACAGTTTCAGGGAATACATCCTTGAATTCAACCAAATCTTCATAGAGAGGATTTTTCTTGAGCGATTCCCACGATTGGGAGTCATATCGCTCAATTCGTGTCTTTTCATCTAGGACACTCTCGTCCATAGATGAACTACTGAGAACTCTCTCGTTCTCAGTGAACACTGTTGCTGACCTTATGTCGGTTACACACTCGTCGTCAGCGACGAGTATGCAGATCTGCTTGACTTTGCCACTACGCAGATCACGCAAGAACCTTTTATGTTCGAGCGTTGGCAACTGAGTGATCTCCGAAGTTAACTTCGGAGGCGCAATCAGATCAAGTGTATAAGCGCCTACACTTGATCCATCATTGACTATGACATTCAATGTCTCTGTCATTTCCTGGGGACTTATTCCCTCAGGCCTCGGAGGACTTACTCCTTCGTCTTCCCGGGGACTTATTCCCGCGGGTTTCGGGGAACTTATTTCCGCCGTATTTGTAATCTTGGGACTTATTCCTTTACTTCATCTAGCTGGGTTGCGCAACCACAGCGAGATCCTCTACGAAAGACTCTCCAGTCGATCTAGGATTATCGTTTCGCTTAACCTGAGCGATCGATTGTTTCTCTTCTAGATGTTCCCCGCTAGGGATACATCTTTGTCCCAGTCCACCCGACTTATTCGAGTGGTGGACCTTCGGCGCAGCCTGTGTTTCCTCACAGCCGCCGGAACTTTGCTCCGAAGTGTAACCGTTTGGTACACTAAGGTTTTGTGCAGTCGTACTAACGACCGTACCACAAGTGAGGCCATCGCACTCACTCGTAGTACATCCACACGCTTGTGGACGCTCCAAAAGTTCATCAGATGGCCATCTGATGAACAAGCGGCAGGCATCGTTACTGTCCGATGTTGCCAGTTTACCCGTGGTTCGTACCTTCTGAGCCACGGTATTCCAAGGATGACATCAAATTTGTCATCCAAATCCAATACGATAAAGTCATCGTCATATTGGGTATCTTCTAGCGTATAGTGGATCTATACGCTTCATGACGGTTACGGATGCGCCTGTCGCAAGACGTACCGTCATCCTCGTAGGAGGTGTGTCACATTCACTGAACTTAAAGTGACCATCTTCTGGCGATTGGCGTCGCACAAAATTGTTGGACGCCCCACAATCGACTAGAGCTCGAAGGGACAACTTATTCGTCACTTCGAGTTTCAAGGTAATGAGTGAGATCTCATTACCTAGAGCAGCAACGCACAACGTTTGTGTGTTGGGAGCAACCTTCATCAAGAGGCCTACAAATTCTCTTGATGTTGCTGGATCAGTAGGGTGCTCCGCACCTACTGATCCTGTCCGTTTTTTGACGGTCCATCCCGTTGTTGCGTCTTTGCACCAACTGCGGACCCTCGTCCCTGCCCCTTTCTCATGGGTGGACGGTCACTACGCCCAGTGTCGCGAGACACTGGACGAGGGGCACTACACTCGTAAGCGTAGTGTCCTGTCTTTTGACATCTGTTGCATCTCTGCAACTTCTTGTAGCCTGTAGAGCGAGCCTTCTCGCTCTCTACATAACAGAGTTCCATCGGCTCTGGACCTCCGCTGTCATATCGTCGCGGTTGACGATATGATGTCGAGCTGGCGCGAGCCTTTCTCAAACTGAAGTCTCCTGCTCCGCAATGGAAATGGCTTGTTCTAGTGAATCTAGTTCAAGCCGGAACAGGTGAGTCTTGACGGGACCATCCGCAAGACCCTGCATGAACACCGAAACCAACGTGTGTTCATCCACCGGATTGGAACTTATACAACTCGTGAGATGTCATATATGTTGAGCGTAAGCGTGTACATCACGCTTACCCTGCTTGAGCTTCAAGAGTTCGGTTCGAGCTCTGAACTCAGCTCTAGGCGGTTCAAACGTTTGTCTGAGCCGCGACTTGAAGACTTCCAACGACCCAAACGCATATGGGTCGTGCAACTTGAGCCCCAGTGCCCATGTCTTCGCACGTCCTGCCAGATTTGACTGGGCAAATGCAACTTGCATATCCCCGTCGTCGATGCGACGCGCCCTTATGGCGTCATCCAATTCGACGAACCATCTCAAGAGGGAGTCTTCTTCGACCCCCCTATACTTTGAGATGTCAATCTTCAAAGTCTCGGGTCGACGCGAGTGCATCGACCCGCCAGCAGCAGCCTGCTGCTGTCTCAACAGTTCAAACTGTTGAGCACCCTGTTCTCTCAACAACTCTGCTTGTTGAGAACCTTGTTGGTGAAGCAAGGCTACTTTCTCGCGTTCACCGTCAAGTTCATTTTGAATGAACTTGGCGATAGTAGCATGTTGGGCATCTCTATTGAGAGCCTCTAGCATGACGCTAACAGCATGGATGCCCATGGTCGAACCCATTCGTTCAACCGCATCCCATTCGACATCGCTCAAATGGGAGTAGCCGTCACGCGTAGCGTGAAAGCTTTGGTCATCGTCATCATCCAACATATTCATGTTAGATGTGAACGTGGTCCTTGGACGGACTACGAAGTGCTACCAGGTGTAACGGGGCACCCTGAAGCTTGTACTGGTGACAGTACAAGCTACTTATTCTGATGACAGAATAAGGCGGTGCCTCGTAACTTCACGTACACTTGTACGTGCAGAGGAAGACGGTAAGAAGAAGCGAGTACTTGGTTAAAGTAAAAAGTAGAACCGTATTTATAATAGTTAATGTCTGCAATAAATCCCTATTTATCTTCATCTAACTATGTCTAAATACAAATGTGTAAATCAGTTATCTGCTCACCACTCATTGCGTGCGTCTGTCGTGGCGCGTCTTCGTTGGTTGATATAATGGCCTATATCAACCAATTAGGAACTACTTGTAAGTGCTACAGAATATTTGTCCTTATGACAATATTCTGAGAATATAACTCTTATAGTTATATTCTATTAACAATTTCTTATAAATTGTTACGTAACGATTCACCCCGTTACAACAAAGCTGAGCGAGGGGTTTTCATCTGCTGTCAGCTCCACATGATCAACATGTAGAAAGAAAGCAGTATGCCGGGCTAAATGGTAGCTCTTTGTCAACTTAGATAACCGGCCGCGTGCTCGGATTCTATTTGTTTCGTTTACCGTTGTCGCATTTCTCATAAATTAACATGTTTTAGACAACAAAAAATACAACTGTAGCTAGAGGGCAAGTCGCTCTGCATCGTAAATTGCCCTGACATCATTGTCAGTGGCTTTATCCGAATTTCTCGGCGGGGCCGACGCACAAGTAGTTCTCACATACTTAGACAACGTCTTGACCAAGCCGTCAGCACTTTGATGCACGTTCGTATAATAAGGCACCCTTCGCATTCTGCTTGTATCCCGTACGCGTCGCACGTAGCGACAAAAAGGGCTGCTTAAGCTACACCAGAAACCTCGATGATCACTTCGATAGTAGCACAATTGTTGTCTAGTCGAACATACTACATCACACACACTCAACCACGTTTATGATTAGGCGTTGTATTAGGATGTTCTGTGCGTGGCATCAACTCCCAGACGGCACGTGCTGACAATGTGAGCTTTTCCATTACACGCTGTGGTGGCGGTAGTACGTAGAATTTGCTTATTTTCGTTCTAGTGCACCGACTCGATTGCCCCATTGACACTGAACGCTTAACAGATGAAGTCTTAGCGCACTCTTCTTCCGAGTCACTACCAATGGCATTGCAATTACACTGCTCACTACTACAAATTCCCTGTCGTAGAAGCCACTGGACGGCAGGGGCATAATCGTTTACGTACGTAGCAGCAACCCTGTGACCAGGCATTATTTCTCGATCTCTGCAGGAATAAGGTGCTGTCAACGCTAGCAAAGTACAGTCCTGTGAATGCTGGAACAAAGACTTTGCCCACGACAGTAATGGGAACTGTCTGGTTGAGAGCTGGACAGAACTGGCGCGCTCCTTCCTCCTCTCGAGTCTCAACCTTTTATTTACCGCGTTGTCTGTATTCCTAAGAAGCTCTTGCACCAGCTACAACAAATACTCCCGGTGTCGTCATCGTAGAGACTTTTACTTTTTTCTTGGACCAAGACTGGTCATAAAGTGGAGGATGACAGCGTCAATTCCACAAACGGTATTCGTCTAGTGCGTATTGACGAGCGCTTTACTGATGATCAGCTGTAGCCTCGGTCGCTTGGTATGTGGTAAATGAGCACGGAATAGCGCATACGTATATTGATGTCACATGGATGCAGGTCAGAATGCAGCATACTTGTAAGGTGAGACACTCGAATGGTGTCAGGCCTTATGACCAGCATTTCACTGCCAATCTGGCTCTGAGTGATGTAAAACGATCATGAAGGAGAGGTAAAGACCGTACATGCGATCGAGAGAAGATGAGTGACTTACCATCACGGAAGGCGTACAGCTCGTGGAAATGCGTTGTGGATACTGTTGCCGACAACTAGATAAAAGTCCACGATCTCCTCTTTTGTTGCCGATTTACGTATCATGTACGAAAAGATCACGCGACGCCACGCGATACTCCCTCACTTCTCAGTGTGTAGTATTCTTGACGCGTTTCAAAACCGTAGAGCCGCAGAGTAGCTTCGCGATCTCGACCAAATTTACTCTTTCGCTTACTGACGATTGTCCACCAGGAAGTTGAAGTTGATTAGACTTGGAACTTACTTGATCCTGACTTTCAGCGTAAAGAGATTGACAAACCCGAACAAATGTCAAGTAGTCTTGTAGTACGTCAGGATTGGGGTCGTCGTTCGAATCGTACCCTCACTCTAAAATGTTCATCCTATTGAGAGGTAAAACGTCGGCAACGCTGACTCAAACTCGTTGATACCAAATCAAAACCTTTGCCAAAAGCACGTGTTTGCAAATGTGGATAGTCAGACTCTGCTCGTTGCTGGGTATGAAAAGATCGAGGCAGCAAGTTGTCTTGCTAGCCCATATATAGTAACCGCGTCTGTCGGTCGGGACTAGATCTAGGTTAACCGAGCAGGATGATGAAACAAAGAAGCGGTAACTACAGAGACTACAAAGCGCAGCAAGAAGAAGACATCGATGAAATAAGATGCAACGTCGTACAAGTCACTTGTCCAGAGTGAACATGAATAGAATAAGTTGGATGAAGGTACATCGCAGCTCGCGTTGCAAATTCTTTAGCATCCACTTTCCGATACCGAGCCATGGTCTTGTGCAAACTGGTTTATTCTTGTAGAACATCGACCCTTTCCTACGGGGTCTTGCAGGTGCCACTAGCACACACCATGCACTTAACCTTAGTTCAAACATGGTCCAACAAGGCAGTAGTACCCTACTGGCAGCCAGACTTATTATTCTTCCTACCCGAGGCAGCAGCCGCATAAGGGTTTTCTCCCTTTGCTGGCCCGTATGATGAGTACGCTGGCTGGGTGTTGAGCGGCTGGCGCTGCCCCGCCTGCTGGCCAAAGTAGTTTCGCGGGTGTGGATTGTACGGCTGCTGTCGCACGGGCATCGTGATCTCCTGGTAGCCGTAACGGCGGTGACGACGCGAGTGGATAATGTAGCACGACAACGCCACGAGCATGATCTCCAGCGACACGATAACAAACACGAAGACGGCCACGAGCACAGACTGGTCATTGACCCACGAGATCATACGCGTCTCACAAGCACACAGCATCGTGTGCTCCGTCATGGCGTTTCTCAGCGAGAAGCTTGGTCCAGCACACTTGAGGAAATTGCTACCAGCATGCAGCTGCTCGTGTCCAATGGGACAATTCTCCTCCACAAACGGCGCAAACCAGTCAAACTCTGAGTTTGAGCACGACGTAATGAGCGAGTGACTGCGGGTGCCTGTAAGGTCGATATCGACATCGAGGCCGCAGCCATAATACACGTACTTGAATCTCTTGTTGATCCAGCGCAACGTCTTCTGATCTGCTGGGGCCAGCACCGACAGGTCAAAGTTGTGTTTGGCCACTTCAACCAATGAGCTGTGCACATGCGTAAGAAATCCCGCGAGCGACAGCTGCGCAATCACCGACACGAGCACCAGAATCGCGTACGGGAACAGAAACACTTTGCTCTCCCATTGGGCGCCACAGCAGCCCAAGAGCGCGATCAGGATAATCAGCGAGCCACACATGATGACCGACGAGGCCACTCCACCATCAGAAAACTCCGTTAGTGCAGGTAATGAAGCCATGTAAGCTACAGACACAAGAAGATACACACAAGACGTGATATTAGGTACAACTGCTCACCCTGACGTCAATTTAGACGCTACAGCGCCACGAACGACATGAATAAATAGAGCAGAGAGAAATGCTGACCTCCAATGGAGACAAGCACCGAGCCTAGCAGCAGAAATAGCACATTTGTGAACACCAAGAGGCTGCGAGATAAAGAACGCCACGCGTGCATCATTTTCCCGCTCTAACTCGGGCTACAGATCGATGTAGGACCCGAAACAACCACAGAACGAGAGAACAGAGCACGACACAGCAGATATATGGTCAAGTGAATAGCTGCAACGAGCAGCGGCGACAGCACGAGGCGACGGCGTCGCGTGATCCGTGCGCTGATTTTTGCCGACGTTACTTGGTCGGAAACGAATGGGGGAGGGGGTAGAGCAGAACGTCAACTGATTGGTCAAAAAGAGCGAGGGACGAATCAGATGGGTACGTAGCCATCTTGACCGAATTCTCAGATACTGGAGAGATCGATGGCCGCCCGTGTACGTACGTGGGTGCCCGCAGACGAGACAGTGGTGCTTGTTGAGGATGTAACCGCACTGAAAAAGGCCGTGCATGATGAAATGGAGCGGATTGGCTGCGGCGTTCATCACTATCGCGTAATTGCGTAAGTTGATACTAGTGGACGCAGCGGTGTATTGCAATATATTGCTGGAAGAAACCCACCATTATTATTGTTATGATACATAAAGCATTTTAGGGTGTGGGAATGTGGCCGATGCCGTCGAGATTCTAGCAATTGGCTACATTTTGATGGTGTATGAAGAAGCAGAAGGGGCAGTGACTCCATGGGAGGCCAGTACGTCGAGACCATCTCTAAAAACATCTTGTGATGAGTATGAGATGGCTACATTTAATCACCAAGTGGTTATTTTTACTTTGATGTGATATTGCAATGTAGGTCTTCTTACTGCTGCAGTATTTGCTGGCATGTTTGGTGGAGGTTTGCTGGGTGGCGTGGCAGGAGATATCTACGGTCGGAAACCGGTGCTACTAGCGACTTTAGCTATCAATGCCGTTGCAGCTTTTCTGTCGGCACTTTCGACAAGTGTCGCCTGGCTCATTTTTTTTCGGACATTGGCTGGCATCGGTGTGGGTGGCGTCGTGGCTTCGCTCTTTGCCTTGTGTTTGGAACATGTGCCAGTATCAGCTCGAGGACGATCGGTTACTGCTTTGTGCTCCTTCTGGATGGTGGGTGCCGTGCTGACAGCAGGGACAGCTTGGATCATGCTGGGCACATATGCTAATGGCGATCGGATCCTGTCCCTGTCGTGGCGCTGGTTCGCTGCGGTTGTTGCCCTGCCATCGTTTATGTGTTTCGTGCTAACGTGGCGGTACGTTCCCGAGAGTCCGCACTTTTTAGCGAGTAAAGGCGATGCACAGGGAGCTACATCCGTGCTGCAGTACATTCATGGTGCCAATGGAAGTAGAAGGCATATCCAAATTGAATTTGCAAGCAGTGAGGATGATTATGGGGATGAGAATGCCAAGGCAGCGCGGAAAAAGAAAGGTGATTCTCACTTGTCGTTACAGGAGACATTGGACGCAGATGATCCTGCAAGTAGGCGTCACGCCATTTGCACTTGGGATAGCCTTCGCGTCATAGCGCGTCTGTTTGAGCGGTCGAATGCTGGACCCACACTGCTGTTGATGTTGTGTGGGTTCTCCTTGAGCTTTGGATCGTATGGTATGTCGACGTGGATTGCTAAGCTGTTCAAAAGTGCTGGTCTTGCAAACCCATTCCAGAATGCATTTTTGTTTGCCGGCGCTAATCTTCCGGGCAATGTCTTCAGGTGAGCACGATCATAATCGGCGGTTTGCTGTTTGGATGCTTACATTGACTACGTCGTTGAAACGAAATACCACCACAGTTTGTACCTGATAGATATTATTGGCCACCAGCGCCTGCTATCTGGTGCGCTCTTCATGTCAGGCTTCTGTGCGCTATTGTTCGCCTTCAACGTGGAAGGATCCCAGACGGTCATTGTCATCGTCTCGTGTCTTTTTAACGCATGTACTACTGCAGCGTGGAACGGGGTACGTATACAATCTTCAATGGGTCTTGTACGACTCACGACTGCCATCTAACATGAACCACTCGTATACGTGCGTGTGCGTCAGTTTGGAGTTTTGTCGACGGAAAACTTTCCGCAGGAGCTTCGTACGACAGGCATCTCGATGGTGAATTGCTCCAATCGATTTGCCGCGGTCACAGCTCAGTTCGTCAATGGTTATCTGATGGGTCCTCCACCTCACCTCGCAGCGCTGCTACTGGTCACAACCTTGGTAATGGTGACGGGTGGCTTTGCCTCGCGCTGGATTCCTCATGGTGGAGATGACGATGTCGATGCCATAAGCGAGAGTGACTGGAACGGGCGTTTGAAAGTTATTGCAGATGCCTCGCCGTCGTTGCACGATAGAAACGAGGGTGAGCATGCAGGTCTGATTCAACGTGACGTTCTTCTCCACGGCAAGCAGATGTCGCCTTGAGGAGTCTTCGTGGATGCTGATGACCACCAGTAAGCATCAAATACCTTTGTTGCGTTTCAGCTTGGACTGCATTTATTGCATTGGCGGATGTCTGATGCTTGTATGCTGTACAGATCGGCGAGTAGCAGCACTGGAGCTATGTATATTATAAATGGCCACTTCACATTTCGCTGCCTCCCGGATACATTAGCATCAAGGTGATGAGATGTCGCCGAGTGCATCGCGCGCAACACCTCTTCAGTCCAACATGTACACAGGTGGCCAAATATAAATGATCTATCTGCAGAGCACTCGGTTTTGCAGCGCGACGTCAAAGTACTTCACATCAACTTTTGTGTGCAATGCAAAGTCGACCCTTGCCCATCAACAAGTGGCATCGTTGCAAGCAAGCGAGCGAGCCTGTGCTGTAGACGAGCCCCTTTGACGAGATCCCAGCAACTTCCGCTCGAAAGCCGTAAACCTTGAGGATGAGTGCAACACGGAATGGATGTCCGGGAGAATAGCGGAGATGGTCATTTTTTTGACGTCCAAGATGTCCTGGTATTTCCCCTCGAGCATATGGCAGTACCACACCACTGCATGACATCCTTAAAGAGCCGTCGATTAGCTTTCACAACAGCAGCACTTAGCGGTCAGGAAAGTGGTGGCTATGATTTTTGATACAGTTGAAGGCAAGACCTTTGCACCCCTGGTCGGAAGTACTGGTTGCTGTGGTCGCATGATCCAGAAGGAGGTATGCAACTGCATATCCGATGCACTGCGACCTCGGAGCTGCAGCCAGGTTGCTACGTTGCCATTCCGTGCTTACGGATCGAAAAGCTGATCAGATCGAGATTCGAGTCAAAGAAGGTGGTCTTGCCATACGGCTGTGCTACTTGTGACTACTCCACCAGTGCATCTGACTAAATGACTCCTACGACTAACTCCTGTGATGGTCAAACGTCTCGTGCCAAACAGCTACACAAACTACACAAATGTCGCCTATCAAAGCAATAGTATTGCTGCCTATTGTAATTCTAGTACGTCTGTTAGTATCGGTCGTGAACCTCCGCTGCTGTAGCTGAACATCGTTCGAAACAACAAACCAGTATCACGACTAGGGCTCCAACCCGTCACGTCCCATCCCGCAGGACGAGCCGGTCCCATCCCGCGCGTTCTGCATATCCTGCATTCGATAATTATCTCACTTTTATCACGGCAACATTCTATTAATTCTCTACGATCATGTAATCCTACAGGAATTAAGAGAACGTCAATGCCGGTGTCATCTGTATTGGATGTATTCATTGTCAGAGTCAGTTTTAGTTGTCATTGTTCGACCTTTCTGCCAAGGCATGTCTCCCGGCATTATACAGTCAGCTCTCTCTTTATCGTCCAGTGTTTTAACAGCAATTCCATTTTGCAGCCCCCGAAACGGTCATACGGATATCTGCCATCCAGATCCGCTGTCTATAACAGCTTTTCAGCTACAACAGCAACAACCATACTTGATGCATACGGTATATAAATTGATGTCCTCTCTATTACAGCCGCCCGTTTTATTCTGGTCCGAGATTCCGTCAGAATTGGTGATCTGAGTTGACCAAAAAAACGTGGAAAATTGCTAGAAATGTCCAAGCCTTTCAATATATCCGATAAAATCAATTAATTTAGGGAACCGTTTATCTCCTCTCAGTTTTCTGGTAGAATCCCCTTCGTTCGATATTACGCTACATGATTGGCTAATTCTTCGACATGCCTTAAGGGTATTGTATCACAATAACCGCTTTTCGAATACCTACTGGACCGAACCCAGTATGGTTCGCAATCGTTCATATGCATTCTTTAGCGCACGATAATGTCAAGCTTTGCCTGAAGCGTTTGCGGACTCGAAGCTTTTACGTCCGCAGATGCTCTCAATCCCTATTTATATTTTTGAGGTAGACGCCTTTACGACAGTAAGCAGTCTTCATCACGCTTTCATGCAAAGGTTGCCGCGCTAGTGGGTGGTAAGGCTTCTATATTCATTTTTCTTTTTTCTTTTATGCGTTTTCGGACCATTCGTGCCACGCCCACGCGACGCGTGTTGTAATTATGTGTTCTGTTCGTTACAGAATAACTTCCTATTTTCCTGCGATGGTTTGGATCTGTTGATGTGCAATGTAGGTCCGCATAATTGCACGCAGTAGGACATCAAGATAGTCGTGCGCAGGGGGCATAGGACAAGCGCGCATGTGGACACCTCTTTTATTACAAAGAAGTTGGGCACCGCAACAAGTGAGTAACTACTTTACGACACTCCAGTTGTTGGTGCAGCCAGTAAAGCCGAGAAAATCGCGTGCTCGTGTATGTAAGCGTCCAATTTAGTAATGAACGAGGTATGGTACCTACAAAGCTTACAGATCGTACTGAGGAATGCACTTAATGTAATTATATCTACAAATTGGTTCCGTTAAGTTCTGTAGGCGTTAGTGTTAGTTCGATCACCCTTCCACATTTTTGTGCACTGTGACTCCCCCTAATGCAATGGACGCATCATCTTCACACATTCTACGTATTTATTGCATCAGTGATGCCAAGCGTTGCTTGCTTTGGTTTAATATGTTGGATTTACACTCACTCACTTACTTACTCACATCTTCTGACTTGAGAAAATCACTTAGTTGGCTGAAAGGCCGCCGACAACGATGTCTATCACACTACACTTTTGTGCAAAAAAGACTTAATTGTTATTTGATTACGACAAGAATTAATTTTAAAATCCAACTGACGTGATATTGCTACCTCTCTTCCCGACTCACTGTAACCCTTCATTTAGCGTCATAATAAACGGAGGGGTTTTTACCAGAAATCTGAGGAAAGATAAACGGTTTTACAAAAATACAGATAAAAACTTCAATAACCCCAGAGATAAATAAAAGGGAGGACCACCCCATAACCCCCCCCACTTTCACCCGAAGATCCACTACAAGAAACATGGCAGAAAACAAATCAGTCAAGAAAAGACATGTCATCTTGCTGAAGACTAAGGTGACCATCATATCCTTCCAAGCAAAATATCCTGCAGCTACTCATCAGGCGATTTCGTACAAATTCGAGATGAAGCACAGGACAGTAACAGACATCCGCAACCAGGAGGAAGTCATCCTCTAAAATGCTAAAAAAGGGGGGGGGGAACAGTGGTAACATGGAACGTATTAAGAAAATCCGTGGTCCGCTGCACGATGAGGTTGGTCCCTTTTTGCTGTTTCTCTGTCGCTTTCAAAATGATCCACAGCTGTATTTATATATTGATAAGGCGGCAAAAATCTGAACTGTTTAAATGAGGTTCAACAAATTCAGTCTAGGCAATGCGCTTCTTCAAGCGAAGGCCCTTCAATTTCATCTACCCTCGGTGTCAACACCTACGGCGCAGAAAAAAAGGTTTCATTGCATCCGACGGTTGGCTTCAGCGCTTCAAGTAGCACAAGAACATCAAGTATACCCGTCTATATGGAGAGGTGAAAAGTGCCTCACTTGTAGAACTTTCTGCCTTCCGACTTGAGCTTTTGGATCTCATCGACAGTATTGCTCTCAGCGACGTCTTCAGCAGTGATGAAACCGGGCTGTTCTATCGCATGACACCAAAATTAACACTGGCGCAGCATTTAAGAAATGGCTACAAAAGGAAAAGGCACGAATACTTTTTTATTTTTACTCAATGCATAAGGTATGAGAGTTCAGCGTCATATGTAAACTAGTGACCATTGCTAAAACATCTTTTGTAGTCTCTGAGAGGCTTATACCACTCATCTTCAAGACTGCTGTCAAATCGCGTTGCTACCTCATCGTTTTCATAGCTAACTAACTTGTTTAATTTTAAACAAGAAGGCTTGGATGAATGGCAACGTGTTCAAGCCTTGATTTTCGACCTTAACTGCCAATCCCAACACCGGGACCGTAAAATCCTGCTGCTGATGGAAACGCCAGTCCACAATGTGTGAAGGAATATGAGGATGCCGACCAGCATCAAGGTATGTGTTATGAATTGTTCTGCAGCAGAAAATGAAATGCTGAACATTTTCAGTTCGCACACAGGTTCGCTTCCTTTCCCCGAGCACTACGTCTAATCTGCAACTGACACATGCCATCATCATCTTTAGCCTTAAGCTCAAGTACAAGACGCGCTACAAGTATCTTCTTATAAAGAAGCTCAGGGTCACTGGCGATCACCCCTTTAAGCCTAAGAGCAGGTCTAGTATCCTTCATGCATTTGATATGCTTGCCGAGTCGTGGAACGACTTTCAACGTGCGTCTATCCGACATTTCTGGGAAAAGACCGGATTTTTTTTTACTTGAGGTCGCATCGTCTTTAATTCTCTACTTAAAACTAAAGACTTTGATCCGGTTCGCCAAATTTCATTCCTATTAGCAAGAAACCCAGAGCACAATGTTGCCGCCACAATGGATGCCCAGAGCTACCATTAAGTCAACAGCACTCTGCCTATCATTGAGATCCTCACCGATTTGAATATACTGGCTGAATTCTCACCAGATCAGAACGTAGTGGACGAGGATGATGAGGGGAGTGATGATTAGTATGAGCTAGTGTCGGTGCCTTCAAAGAAAGGTGCAAGAAGCTGTTGAAGTTGTGCTGGAGGGCATGCCTGAGAAAGGCGCTCTATTTGACCATGCTGAGGAAATCAAAAAGCTTCTCCTCCGCTTCAAGCGCTTCATCATGTTAAGCAAGACTGCCACGTCGAAGCAGAAGGGTTTAGAGAGCTACTTAATCATGGGAAGGCAACGGACGTGCGGGCTGGCTAAAACTCATCTCAGATGTGTCATCTCATGTTTTGCATTATGAATTTGAGAATGGAATAAGCTTTCTAAATACCAGCCAACATGATGGGCCCCCTCTTTTTTGTACAGAAGTAGCAATTTACATGATATTGACACCAAACGGTGTCAATAGGGAGATTGTCTAGCGTGACAATATCCTATTAATATCATCCGAGACCAAATATTAAAGGAATATTATCTCC